TTAAAAATAAAGTTTCTTTAAAAAAATATTTTGTCTGTGTACGAATACTTTTTGCACTCACTGTATGTAACATGAATCATTATCGGCATATGCGTTAGTGTCAGGAATTTTCGCGATATCATGATCTTGAATTACAAATTAAAAGTACGCTTGTTACCTTTGTACTATACTTTCTCATACGTATATTTGTTATGCATCATGTGACTTATCTACTCTGTTGAAAGACAAGAACATTTTATGTACACATGACTCGCCGCAATCGAATTTTAGCTCTAGACTAATTTGTAAATTGCGACGATTCCGCACAAAATACTTTATCACTGTCAAAACTCTTCATTATTGTCGAGATCTTTTATTATTGCTAAAATTGCACAAAATTAAATAAAATTATTTATTCGCCATGTGAATTACCATATCTGGAATAAATCAATTTAATAAAGAATATATAATGTTTTATTTGAAACATCTAACTTTGACCGTTTGTGGCGTTCTTTATTGTATTAGATCTTAAAAACTCTTGAATTTGTATGAAACATTTTTCTTTAAAATATTTTGTTTCCGAGATAAAAGTTTGTAACGCTTTATTTTAAACATCCCTATACTTTCAGAGAACAATATACATAGTCTCTTTTACATTATATTTAAAAATATGTTCTTATTCTAATAACTATTTTTATACAAATTGAGTAAATTTAATTTAATATATCTTTCTCAATTAAAAAAAAAAAATAAGAAGTTTTTTATATAAAATTTATTTTCGGTAAATTCCATATAGTAGGAATATCATAAAAAAATTTAAACTTAATCTAGTTTCTTATGACCCACGCATGAATTACAACTTTAGTAATACATAACAAGTTTACATATGCCCTTAGATAAATGTGTTCAAAATCGCAATATAATCCAAAACATGTTATGATAGTAGATAGCAACAGTGTGAAGGAAAAATATATATATATAAAAGTTATATACAATAAATACATATATAACTTTATATATATATATATAGAGGTCTCTCTAATATATATAGCATCTAATTTATATATATATATAAAAAGGATAATTATGCTTTTTCTTTGCACAAAAATATATTTCACAGAATGTTCATCTTCAAGTGTGTTTGGAAGTATTTGCCGTCTCCTTTAGTCGCTTGTTTATTAATTTCCTTGTGACGTTCTCGACTTACTATCTCTTCTAAGACTTCTCCATCACCTTTAATTAATCTTTACAAAAACACAGAAATTAATTCTAATACTGAATTCGATTGGACACACTAGAATTAAAGTCGTTGTATACTTATATAATCTAAGTATAAAAATGAAATGCAAATATGTTGAATTATAAAATACATATTTTACTTAACAGCATAATAAAATATGTTGATTTCATGATATAATTAGTTTTTAATTAAACATACATCTTTACATCAATTTGTATACGACGGCTTTAACTACATCAGCGCGTACTGAGTGCATCCAATCGAATTCATTATAATACATATACAAATGAATGCGGGGTCTACAATAGAAGTCGTAACAATCGTAGAGTCTTAAGTCGTAGAAAATTGATCAATCACATCGAATATGAGAAGAATAATTAACTGTGATTGGTCAATTTTCTACGACTTAAGACCCTACGACTGCTACGACTTCTATTGTAGACCCCGCAGAATGTAGAAGCAAGACAAGTATTCACAATTATTATATACATAAATTTTATTATCTGTATTCAATTGTTTTGTCTCATATTTACCTATGTCTTCCAGTCTCTTCATCATATACTCTGCGCATGATGCTCTGCCTTTTTTCCCATTCCTCTTTTGTCATGGGTGCCATGGCTTTGCCTCTTTCTATTACATTCGAAACAATTTCCTTCATTTTTTCCCTTCTATCTTGAACTTCTTTATTTCCTTTAGACTTCTTCTTACTGTGTCCTTTTTTTTTGGATGTAGATTTTTTAAACTTCTTTTTCAATTTCTTCTTCATCCGTTTTTTCTTCTTCCGTTTCTTTAAAGCTTTCTTCAATTTCTTAGCTTTCTTTCTAGCCTTTTTTTGCTTTTTTTCATCCTCTGAGCTATCAATAGTGGTGCCACTATTACTGCTGTTAGTATCACTACTACTACTGCTACTACTGCTGCTGTTACTGCTGCTGGAACTGCTGCAGCTACTGTCGCTACTACTGCTACTGATACTAGAAGAACTAGAAGTAGATGAAAATCTTTTCCTCTTTAATTTCTTGTGACTTAGCTGAGTTATATTCTGTATATTTTCTACTTTTTTCTTCTCTTTTTGTTTTACGTGTTCAACTATTTCTGTGTCATCTTTTATTGAATCAGATTTTTCTATCTTAGAAATAGATCTTGGTCGATTCATTTGCTCTTTTGAACTACTCTCTCGTGATAGCTGACTAGCTGTATTGTAGCTAGTATTTCTATAATTTGGTATCCTGGATCTGTTATGATTAAACGTTCTTTCAAAAGATCTGCTATATCTACTATAACGATAATTGTTATATGCATCTCTTCTATTTCTGTTATAATAATTATAGTGTCTATAAGGTCTTGAATAGCCGCAATCTCTTTGATTATTCAAAAAGTTACTGTGCCTCCGATTGTAAAATCTATAATCATTACTATATTTTCCACTTTTTCTTTGCAATTCTCTGGTTTCATACTTTCTAGTTTTATGTTTTATATCATCTCTATTCTTCTTTGCTTTATACGTATTTTTCTCCGAGTTTGAAATATCAGAAGAACTAGAACTATTGGAACTACTTCTACGTTTTGACTTCTTCCTTTTATCCTTACTGCATACATTTCGTCTCTTTCTCTTCTTCTCAGAATCATTGGAAGAAGAAACCGAACGTCTCTTTAACTTTTCTACCTTTGCTTTGTCAAATGACTCTGTCTCCATAACAGGTCTCTCCAAATTATTCATCATAACGATAATCTATCAAAAACAAACTTTATTTAAAGGTAATCCAAAATCACATAGAATCAAATCCATTAAAATAAATGATTTGCATAATTAAATCTATTTTGCATGGTCGAATATATGATTGCTCCATTTCTTGTATAAATATTAAGTCTGTTATTCTCGAAAAATATGTTCATTTCAGCAAAATATATGTATACGTAATCATCCATAGGTCACGGAAGACTTGGCTTTCTAAGCAAATTTCGATATTTACCTATTACAAATACGTTACGAAAACCTAACCTTCTCCACCATGTTTGTCAATCATTACGTTTTGTCACGTAAAACTATAGTGCCAAGAGAGCAAATAATCTATCTTTTTCCCATTTATTGATATTTATCAAAACATTGACAATTTATTAAAATGCGCTAAATAATTACCTGTTCATCACTTTCTAACCATTTCTTCTATTCAATCTCCATCATTTTATGTCGATGAAAATTTGGAGCAGCGCGCAAGACCGGCAAAACGGTTCTCTTCATAGGGAATCATAGGTCGCGTTCAACAGACTCAACTGTTGGGCTGCGTTCAGAAATTATGATACGTTTCTACTGAGCGCGTCAGGGTGCCGTCCCATGACGCGTATTGCTGGATTCACACTGCATCTGATTTTCGACGCATCCAATCAGAAAACAGAATTCCGATAATACGAAGCAAAATTCATCGACACTGCGATGCGACTAATATAGAACCAGCTTAACGTCTAAAGTTGGTAACATCGAATTTTGATACGTTAAACCGATTGAAGACCGTTTACACGACTTTCGTAAAACGATTTAGTAATGCCAAATCTGTTTCAGAAGAAGTTTGGATTTACCCCGGAACTACAATAGGTGTTTTAAGCCTTAAGTCGTAAGAAATTGATCAATCATAGTCGAATTCGAGGAGAATAATCGACTATGAGTCCATTTCTTATGGCTTAAGACTTAAAACTGTTTTAGATCCGGGGTTACTAAAACGGTTTTAATAACATCTGTATTATGCGTCGTCTACAATGGCAGTATCAGTAATGGATGAGGCTGTAAGAGTAAGAAATTGATCAATCACAGTCAATTATTCTTCTTACATTCAACTGTAATTGGTCAATTTGTTACTCTTACAGTCTCGTCCATTACTGATACTGCCATTGTAGACGACGCATTAAGAGACGTTTACAGGACATCTAACACCGGTTTTAACTAAAACGGTTTTTATTAAAACGGCTTTACCAGTGCGTGTAAACATAGTCTATGGCTGCGTTCAGCAGAACGTTTGTTTGCAACTGTTGGAAGTTTCCTTCGCGCTAATTGGATCATACTTTTAGATCTAGAAGAATGGTCCTATCTCAGCAGACAATCATAAAACGGTTGCAAAACTGGCTGCGTTCAGCAGACTCAACAGTTTTGCAACCGTTTTATGATTGGCTG